TGGCTATCGGGGCAACCAATCCATCTCGTATCGATTGTGTAATAAAAGAGGAACAAGCGAGTTGCGACATTCTCATAGTTTTAATGTGTCGTTGGTTTGCTTAATAAGATATTCCCATGCATGGGTGTTTACCAACAAAGCGAAAGATAGTAAAACACAGAGAGATCAATAGCAACATTGCTAAATGATTACGTGCGCAGACCAATGAGCATCCAATGTTGATTGTCGACCAGTCGACCTATCTGGATCGGTAATTTCCCCGTTAGTATAAAGATACCAACCATATAGCATGCCCGTACCGGTGGCAAACTCGATTGGAGCGCAATCAGTGCCTAGAATGTTTGTGTTGATGGGTCATCAGTGGGTAATAGCCCGACTCCGGTAGAAACCCCTTTTCACCCCCACCACCACCATTAGCCCATCGAAACTCACACGGGCTACCATCTCGGACACTGCACTGGCGAGAAGAGAAAGGTAGTTCCCAGAGCTCCCCGGCAGCTGAAAATCCCACCTTTGTCGATCGGTCGGTCGGGAGTGCAGTCAGCGCCCACTCAGGGTGGCAGAGATTCGATTTGTATCTGCCGGAGCTGCCAGCTGCACGCTGACTTCTGTGGTGGATCGGACTAAGGTCACGCGGAAGCTGCCACGATTTCACGACTCGATGAGCCGTGCTCTCTCGTGGTACGGACGCCGTCGTGGAGCATTTGTACGCCGGAAATGAAATAGTGAGAGGCAGCGAGGCGTTTCATGATACAAATGAGGTAGACGACAACATCAAGATATTTGCAGGAAGATGGTTTACGTGTTGACCCAATGGCCGTTGATTTGTGCGCTATGCTTGGTAGGGTTTCTGCGTTTAGCCCAATTATTTTCCTCTCAAAAAGCGGAAATATGGTCAAACCAGTATCGGGTTCGATTACTGACAAAATAATAAGAAAGTATTTGCGGAAATCTGACTGCATCATCGCATCATCATCTGTGGCGTCATCTACTTTATGTAACATCAGTTACTTTATTCAAAACTAGACTTACCTATGTACCTAGTTATTTGGCCTGTTGGTGGTCAAAACACACATCCCGCTTTGCCAAACTGTTACCTGTCTTCCAGTCAATCAGTAGGCGTACCGACCGGTAGTTACCTCGTGGTATGAAACCGCTACACGGCTCGGGAGGCTGTAAACCGGCACATTTGGGTCGCAGGTCAGACAGTTTACGATGTGAAAGGTGAATTGTAGAGACGACGGAAGTTTATAGTGGTGTCGGTTGTTTGTAGACATCACCGCTGCTTGAATTTAATAATGTTTTGCAAGGATCAAACTGTATAATCACATGTGAGTTAGGCATACCTAACTTTAGGTTATCTGAACATTAGAAGGGTTATGAATTAGGTTAGGTAACGCATGGAAGCGAATCTTGCTATGTTTTCAGTCACCGCTCTCTGCCACATATTTACATGACTTTGTGACTGCATATGCAATAAGATAATAGATAATTCATTATTTATTGCTTTGTAATCACTTTATCTCGAGCGCTCCTCATCTGCAGTGACCACTGACCAGCCAGTAAATCCAACCTATGCCGCTCGCTCCGCTCCAATGCACGGCACCGGACCGCTCGCCGTTCCCAGGCCGGCAGACGTTAGCGGCGTGTGGCCCACAGAGCGGCGTCGGCTGCAGGTCAATAGGTCGGTGTGCGGCGACCCGAGTGGCTTGTTACCGCTGTCGGGCCGGGGCGCACCCCCTCCCCCCCCCCCCCGTATCCCCGGAGAAGTGACCCCACTGACCGGGATGATGTCGATGGAAATACAACAGGAACTCTGGGCTACAGTTACGACCGCAGAAGCCGTGCACACGAAATTTATGTCGGGAAGGTGGTTTTAAACGGTTTGTAGAAAATAGCATGGGAAGCGCAGATGAACTGGATCTGATGTAAATATTACATCAAATAAGTTTAGGAAATTAGATCACACTCGTTATTTCAATGTTTGACACCGATTTATAGGCGACGCCTTTCAGTGGATCGGGTCGCAACTGACCTTGATCGCAGCAGGCATACCGTTCGCCAAGTGTCTATACTTATCCATACATTACTAAACAGTTGAATATAGTGGGATGGGATAGAGTTATCACTCAGGAACATGTTTGTCATGCCTGCACTATCTCTTTGTGAATGTCATAAGTACCAAGTCTGTGTACTTGACGAGCGGATAAGATAGGAAGCAAGTTCCGGCACAAACAAAGACAGACATAAAAAATCGCACAACACTGGGAAAAGATTCCAGTGGCTAGCACTGTCGCCGTCGCACGCGGCTCACTACACGAGCACGAAGTAGCACACCACATTGCACCAGCTCGCGGTGCATCGCGTGACAAACCAGCCACCACCGCGCCGCGTGCAATGTTGCGCAACAGGGACGAAATCGGTGTGTTTTCGAGCCGTGGCACTCACTGCAACTGGCAGGAAGAGGAAAGGATCCTTGACAGTGGCGAACCCAGGATATGTCTGTGCGACGAGGGGGGGGGGGTGACAAATGCCATCGAGTTGAGGCTCGTGACTTAGTAAACGTGATCAATTAATAACCAACTTAATTCCACATTCACAGCACAAGTGGCTCAATGTTGGATCATTGCAATTGTGGCTTTCCGTTTGTTTTTTTTTTCTTCATGCAACAAAACACTGCTAAATTCCAATCGTTGTCAACATGTGAATGATTTCAAGCTTAAAAGGAATTCGTAAGTATACACACCATAAGCATACCATTCTCACACCCTTCCAACACAAAAGTCACAACTCACAAACAAGGGATGAATTGTATAGAATATATTATGTAATCGATCCTTCCGGCGCTGTTGTTTTCATTTGATTCGTGTTTCAGAAAGAGCATACTGAAGCATCGAATTAAACTGACAGCCAGCCGCGAGAAGTTTTGTTTCCGCTTGAACAAGCGTCAAAGCAGCCAATGAATTATCCACCAGATCTCGGCCACAATAAATAGCACTAAAATCTGCGAGTCGCGCGTCCCAAACGATGTGTCAGCTGCTTCTTTCTTCATCATCGAACACGGTGTTCGACAGTCAGCAAGATGAAATTATGATCCGGAACCAACGGAAATTAAAGTCCGTTGCAGTACGGTATACTCATATGGTCTGTCGACATTTTGTGGAAATACATGGTGTTCAGATGCATACAAGTTAAATTTTATGTTAATATGCTTGCATCTGCGGCTGGTCCATCTTTTCGTAGGTAATCTGAAAGAGTTGAGCTCCCGCAGCTGTTGGACAGACGCGGCCTGCAGCTCTCAGAAGTCGGATCGTTTCTCACGGTGACGTTTTCCGGAATTAGGAGCCTGTAACCTCATTCATCATTCATCAAACATTAAATGTTGGAGTAAAGAGTGAAACATATCGGTGGTACCTATTAACTGGTTACGGTCTACGGATCATCACATAAATTGTAAAGAGCCGGCGCTCAAGATGCAGTCACAATTTATAAGTTATACATAACAAAGGGTAAGAACTTTCCGTTTCGAATCGCATAAAAGCCAATTTCTTTACCCACTCCTCATTTGAGGTATCTTTCCCAAAAAGTCCCAACCACGGCACACCTCTCCTCGTGATGACCTTGCCCCTGTGTCTCCTCACGGCTCACGACATGTCCCTGCCCCCGTATCCGGACGCGGCGGGCCGGCCGCTGCGTCTCAAAGCGCCGCGTCTGCGGCCACCGCCCGGTCTGACCTTGTGCTCCGTTCCCATCCACCAGCTAGGATCGATTCTCCGTCACCAGAGCCGTCGTCGAGCGGAGGTGAGTCCTCGATCCCCTCACCGGGACATCCTTCCTGACCCACCGGTCCCCTCCCTCCGACCCCTTCCGACAGCCTGTTGAGCGAGGGAGGGCATGCGGCGGGACACGTGTTAACAGCCGGGCCAAATGTCGAAACAGCGGCCAGCCGGCCGACGCATTGCTTAATTGATAACCTTCCGTCGGCGTGAGGAGCTCGAGTGCAGCACTGCTGCCACCTGACGGCAAAAGAGAGAAGTAATAGTTCACTGAGTGACTACGCCACTTGCATTGTGTGCAACTATGCCCGTCGGAAGGAGCGCATTGGGCCCCTTCCGTGAATAGGATATGATGAAAACTATGATGTAAGTCCATCGACCTGTTCAGTAGTGATTTCTCTAGCCTCCATTTCTACTGGGCTACCTCAGCTAGCTCCATCATAGTTCAATTCAGCTGGCTTAGCCTAGCAAGCTCAACTGAGCCACCTTGGAAAGTTTAGCTGAGCCATCACAAATAGTTCAGGAAGGTCAGCTCACAAAAATCAGCTTAAGTAATCAGAGCTCACAAAATCAGCTCGTCGCTATCAAAAAATTCCACCAATCGAAAGTTGCAAACAGCCTAATGTGAGAGCTGCCGTTTACTTAGAACCGTGCTCGTCTATGTCGGTGTCCAAGAAACGAACCATTACTACAAGCTTCCGCCACCAGAGGTCTGGTATCGTTCAATGGTAACCAAGCTCCCCCTCTGTCTCTTTCTTGCTTTATCTCTCATCCCCTTTGCTTCGATTGTAGACAGTAGACACCACGCAACTCTTACGCAGACCGATATGCGTTTACTTTTTGTTTGTTTGTGTGCTTTGTTGGGCTAGTCTCTTCAGGTACAATAATCCATTTCAGGTCCATGGGAGGAGATGTTAAGGATGAGGCATTGAGCTTGCCCTGTCACCAATTGTCGGGCACTCAGGTCTACGGTGTTAGATTCATTACGTTGGAACGGAACTGTCCCCGACCCTGTGCTACGGCCATGTATGCTTGTGTTTGTGCATTAGTTTGAAACCTGTGGAGTTAGGAGGTACAGCACTTATTGTAGCAGTTTGGAGTATACCATGGTATAATGGTATACTTATGGTATGTGATGGTATAAAATACTGGCGATCCTATGGCAGCCTATTGTCGCTAAGCAAAAGTCAGAGACCATGAAGGCGTAAGAAAACACTTGAAGAATTGACTGCGAACAGAAAGATGTATTTCCACATGGTCAGATGAGCTTCAGCCAGAAGCTTTCAAAGCTGCACGCAAATTTCATCAACGCACAATACAGATTCTGCGAGACCGAGTAAGATCGCATTTTTATACGTACATTACCATAACATAAATGCAGGTACCATGCATGAGACGATACTCATCCATGCTGATAACAATTAACAGTTATGATGAACACACTCAGTAATACACATTAAGCACATATAAATACTTTGTGTCGATTATGCACATTAAGCAGCATGATAAGTTAAGACAAGTTAAACAGTACATCCGAGCATATGTAATATAAACGTACCTGAACGTCTCGATAATTTTACACGGCAGTGAACACAACTGCATGGCATCTCAGGACTGGCATGACTTTGGCAGCTCTGACAATCTCTAACCCTCACATCGAATTAATGATACTTGTTTAAGGGGCGATTTCAGACAGCCTATATTTCGACTCTACGAGTATTTCACTTGTTCCTGTTGTCAGGTCATGTAATAGTGCCTTTATAACATTGCGCGTAGCTATAGATACCTACCAAAAACCTACTCCCTTGGCACTATTTTCTATCAGCTGTCCCATCAGCAAAAAAGCCTGATGACTATCAGTCCATGAATGTCGAATGGGACGGTTGTCTCCGTTCTGATCTAGTTACGGTGGATGCTCTGTTCCCTCTCACCACTACTAGCTCGGTCGCCCGCGACGATCCCCTCAGGTGATCACATCTGACCCTTTCTAGGTATACTCCTCCTTACATGGTTGACATCACTGGGCTCTGTTAAAGGGCTCAGACATCGACATCTTCCCATACGAGTATCTATAATCCAGTTCCGGCTTCTTCTCGGATGAATCGTTCAGAGCCAACAATTTGTCAGGATGCCCAACCCTTTTCGTGACACCAACAAGGCTCCTCTTTAGCAAGATTTATCTCGCAGATAACCACCTTCATGAAGGTGAATGATGTCAGAACCGTGCACGGTTTTGACATCATTCACCCCTTCATCTCCTGAGCCCTGTCCATCAGATCTGAAACTGATCAATTCCACTGAACTTCAACGCATTGAAGTCATCCCCTAGCCAACATAACCCATCTGTCCATGCCTTCCTTCATGTCCTCAGCATGTTGGTCTCTTCTCTGCCGTTTCCATAACAGTGGTTTCCATCTGATCCTCTTCTGTACCGTCAGCCACACAGGCCTGGCGCGCACTATCTCCAAACCAACAATGTCATTTCCATTCTCCTGCTACCTCGAAGGGCGCTCGTCATCTCCAAGTCAGCAGAGTTCGCTGCTGTTTTTCTCCATTTCCTCAGCTACCCGGGTCGGCCGTCCTCCTCCTCCACACCAACAGGCTCTGGTTAGGCGCGGGCTGCGTATCCGACTCCAGCCGCAGACCACAGCTCTCGGCGTGTTCACACAGCTCGCTGACGTCCCGCAGACCCCAGGACGGGTTCTCCTGCTGGAGACGCTGCTGGAAGGTCTCCAGATTGGCTGGAATCCGTCCCTCCCGTTGGAAGGGCCCGTAGAGCAACAGCGCTCCACCGGGCCGCAGCCAGCGCCCGGCACCCGTCAGTAGCCCTCGCCAGCTTTCTGGAGGTGCCACGTGTGTCATGTTGATACACAGCACCGCGTCCAGCCAGCCGGGGACGTGCGCGCGGGTTCGACACGCCTCGCAGCGCGCTGTGCGGTCCGGAGAACACGTGCGGCACGTGTCGCCCGGCACGGGCCACGTATCGGGCTCGGCGGCGTCGGCGACACGCGGAGGACACACGTTGTTCAGCGGCTCGTCGGCCAGACGTTTTCGCAATGTGGCTAACATGTGGGTATTCACGTCAGAAGGATGGAAGGTGAGCTCCGGAAGGCCGGCGGCCAGGTGGGTCACGTGCTGACCGGTGCCCGAGGCGATCTCGAGCACGTGACCGCCGGAGGGCAGGCTCAGCTGACGGACGGCGGCCAGGAGGAGGTCCTTGTTTTGATCGGCCACCTGGCTGTGCAGCATCTGCCGGAGAGAAGGGGCACGGGGTGAAATGGATGGGGTTGTATGGTAAGAAACGGGATTGAAGGTAAGGGGCCGATCGATGTTTGAATATTATTTAATCTAATAGCAAGGAGTCTCTTAACCTGACCAACTTCACGACCATGAGTCTTGACCATTATGCTTCGGGTTATTGCAGCCTTATGTCAAATCCACAGACCGGCTGGCTTTGCTGAAAATGATACGCAGGTCGCAGCGCCTACACTGGACTCAAACCGGTTTAAAGCATTAGCATACGTCCAACAAGACAGCTCACCGTAGAGGTCAACGGCCAAAGTTCACCACATCATTCCTTGACAAAATGCGCTGTATTCAGCTGATATCTGTGTTTTGGCATTGCCTTTCATTCATAATTCGATCATGAGATTCGATCGTTTGTTCTTTGATTCGATCAGGACAAAAACTAAGCTATGTCAAGAATTGTAAGGATTGCGAATTGGACTTTTTGGGACGACGTATAGCGTTGCTTAAAGGGGAGGGCAACTTTCGAGAACCTTGTTACCTACTATTTTTCTTAGGATGCTTCAAGCATCCTAATGCATCTTACTTCGCCTACAGTAGAGGCGCGTAGGGTCCTTTCCAGCCTAAAAGCTGTCATCTTTTTGGTGACCTGCGAATATCGAGCGGCACCTTATTTTCTCAAAGCCGCTCGTGACTTCTGACCCTATTTCGCTACGGCCGAGGACCCAATCCGTCGCTACATAAATTGAACTGTCGCCATATATTTGCAGTCAATAGTCATTCCTTGATAGCCCAAGGCGATCTGGTAGGGACAATGTCAAAATGCATATATATAAGTAGGCGTCATTTGCCTCGTACTGAACGAATATGCTACACTCAGTCGACCGGCTGTTTCCTATTAATCGTGTTCCTTTTCATTAGACACTCGTATTTTCAACTGAAGCCAAATGTTTTGTATCTGAGTCATTTATGCGGTGCCAATCTCCGACCCAAAGCTATCCCACTCCGGCCTATCGCCGAGTCTCTCGATGCGGAATGAGGCTTTACACCATTTCATAGTCACGTCTATGTCCGACAAGAGTCACGCCTTCCTCCCACCTGCCCTCGCCCATAAAGGACTGAGGAACCTCCTCGTCTATTATAAAGGTCATGACCCCGGGTCTGGGTGTGCGCGAAGAACAACTAGGAGTGGAGGTCGGCACGTCTTCCCGGAAACGGGCCGTCAAGTTAATCAAACATTTACATCCTTCGACAGCCGCCGGGTCAAGATCAGGTCGTAAGGAATGTTGTGATTTGTACGCCTCTGTGCTGTGTGCGTTCGAACGTGGGCTATTTCCGAAGTGATGCATTGCGAAAGTGCCGCGCCGGCGGACAGGAATTGTTTAATTTACCTTGGACGGTCAAGGCTGTGAGGAATGAACGGATGACGTTTTTTGATGGAGTTACAACAGCGCGGCTGATGGGAAACAAATTGGACGGGAGGAATTGGCTAGCAGCGCGGACAGTGTTTGGTACCGTTAGCCTAAGGTTGACCGTATTGTAGTAAATCGAATCGGAGGACCCACTGAGATGGCTTGCATCGCAATGCGCATTTGATGGTGCAAAGACTTGAGAAGTGTCAAAGCGTTTCTGGCATTTATGATGTACAAACCATAACGGAGGCATACGCACATCCAGCAATTGTAACGAATCCATGACAGATGTAAAATGACGATAATAACTCAAGTTTATTGTACAAGACAAAGCTTTCGATACATAAAGTATCTTGATCACTGTCAATGAGATGTGACAGTGTCAATGTCAATGTCAATGATGTCAATGTCAATGTCCTGATGTCAATGAGATGTGGTGACACATCTCATTGACAGTGATCAAGATACTTTATGTATCGAAAGCTTTGTCTTGTACAATAAACTTGAGTTATTATCGTCATTTTACATCCAGCAATGCATAGAAGCACGCTCATAAGCGTTCCTAGGCCTGTTAACGACCATGCAACTTTGCCAGTCTGTATTTATTTATCAGTGTCTGACGACTCTGTACTTACGCATAATTGAGCTTGCCGTCAGTGTTAGTATGGCTTCCATCCAATGTCTGTTGTATGTCCACCTGTAGGTTTGTTTATCGACGTCAGTGTTTGTGTGTCTGTATGACCATTCCTAATGACTGTGTGTCTGTATGTGCACCTGTAGCCGTATCTGAGCCGCAGGGTTCCCGGGGAATCTAGGCCAGGCCGGGCCGACCGCCACTGTGGTTATAGGCTCCACTGCCCGCCCAGCAGCCCACAGTAGCCGGGACCGGAGCGGCGCCTTGTAGATTGTAGATCATATCCAGGCCGTGGTGGGAGGATAGGTAATGGGGGTGGTGGGAGGACCGGTGATGGGACCGGCCGATACGGGAGGACGGCCCGCTGATGGGGATTGGACCATCGCTGACTGCTGATCACTGTCCGCTGATCGCTGACCGATAACCACGTAATGAACACTATAGTGACCGAGTATAGCTGAGAAGAGGCCCGGTATCTTCCGAGCGAGAAGGTCCGTTTGTGGGGCATTTGAAAAGGATGACAAGGCACCGTAGCGCTGCCCGTCATGGTGAACGGTATGTTCATCGGAACATTTACGAAAAATCAATTATAGCTATAGCTTCATCTCGACCCATACCTGCTCATAAGGCAGAAATAATGTTATAAACGTAAACGGCGGATGAGCCCGACAGTTCACATCATATGACCAGTTCCAAATCCGCCGTGTCTATTTCTGTCAAAATATTGTCCATGGTTCAACAAGTGAATTTACGTAATCATTTATCATTAGATTAACAACATGCAATGTGTTCGTTGTGATTTAAGGCGTAAGATCAGTAAGTAAAATATTATCCTTGTATGCCCTCCAGAAGGGGCACATTCTCAACACCAGCCGACCGTGTTCAAGGTTTCGTTCAGCGGAGCGTAAGACAATTCCGTGCAGTTATTCAGTGCAATATCGAGATCAAACCCTTCATATAATGCATACTGGTTCGCAAACTTCCCGAAGAATGTTGATTATGTGGACGGCAAAAGATGAATGTATACGGATAAATATTATTTTGTAGATTAATTGTGTGTAAATATTCGACATTTCCTTACATTTCCTTATCTACATGACTCATCAGTTCAAGTTCCAGTATTGTTTTTTTATACCCATATGCTTTCTAGAAAAAAAGATATTAACCATATTACTGGTGGGGGGGGGGGGGGGGGGGCGAATCGGCCCCCACCTGTAGTTTTCTTGTTTTGCTGTCGACGGAACCGCTTAAGCTAGGAGCTCGAAATTCGGTGACTTTTCCTTGCTATTCATTGGGCACATTATGTCAAATTTTTGAGTTTCTATCTTGTGCAGAGACGTCTCCAGGGCGAGTTCCTCGGGGGTAATTTTGATCCAGATTTGACTGTTTCGACATTTGCCGCTAAGCAGCGACTTACTTAGGTTTGTATTGGTGATCAGTGGCACCACCCGTCATATGTATGCACCTAAAGACTATGTGATGTCATTTCAATAAAAATGTTGGAATAGGCGGATCCAGGTACCTGAGAAGGGGGGGGGTAATATCAATTTACTGCCCCCCGTCTTAGCGTGCCTGAATCCACCTATGCTTAACGAAAACGTGCATTTTGTGCTCACGTTGCATATTTTACATGATATATGACACATCATGTCGTAAGACACATGATACCTAAACCATGACAAAAACTCAAAACATCATCCCAAGTTAGCTTACCTGAATCCGCCTATGATTTTTGAAATATCCAAAATACCGAAATATATATGATGGCCCAGTTCATGAAGAAGGGTCGCTAGAAGTTTCTTCAAAATCGGTCAAAAAAGAAAGAAGTTCTTGCATTATTAGTGATGAGGTAAAACGCGATTTATTTCGAAAATTTTGCTACAAATTTTTAATTTTTTACGTTTTATAGCCATTCTGAAAATTCACGATGAGAGAAATCGAATGGCCCACCACCTTCACCGATGTCCCCGCCCGCCTGACGGCGAGGCGACCGGTGCCGGCGGCGCTCTGTCCTACCGGCCCAGCCCGGCCCGGCCGACCGGTGGAACCGTCGGCCCAGCCGGCCGGCGAGTCGCACCGGGACTGCGGCCGGGAACGGGCGCGCTTCTGGACAGTCTCCGCCGGCCGGTGACCGTCAGTGATCGACGACGACGGAGAGTGAGAGACGACGACAGAGGACGCTGGACGCCATCGAGGGTAATTAGGCAGCTGAAGGAGGGGGTAGGCGGTGCGAGTGTAAATTGGGAGATTGTTGTAATCAGCAAGACAGTGTTCGCTGGAGGTCGAGTGATTGACTTTTTTGGAAGGACAACGCAGGACTGTGTATCAGGGACGTTTGAAAAGACATTAGCACGAACCTAGCGGTTCTGTGGAAGCGCTCAGTGAGAAAAAGCGAGACGCGAGGAGGAGTGACAGTGCGAGGACTAGCAGTGGACCCAAAACAATCCGAAGTGATCAACGTAGAGCTGTGGTGTCGTGCTCACTAGCTCAGCACCAGAACCTTCTTCTCTCCCGGCGCTCTCCAAGCAATCAGGATGCACTCGGACCTGATCCTGGTGGTGGCCGCTCAGGTGCTGGTTATCAGCGCCGTGGCCGCGGCCATCGGGGTCCTCCTGCTCCGCCACCTGGTCTGCCGGCGTCGGGTGCGCTCCAAGGGCCGCGCTGTGCTGGTGACCGGCTGTGACCGCGGCGTGGGGCTCGAGCTGGCCGCCCACCTCGACTCTCTTGGCTTCAGGGTGCTGGCCGGGGTGCGCGAGCCGTGTGGCGCCGGAGCGGCTCGGCTGCAGGCTCGCACCTCAGTGCTGACCCGCCTGGTGGACCTGGATGTGACCTCAGAGGTCAGCGTGGCGGCCGCGGCCGGCCAGGTGCGCAGAGAGCTACAGGAGACCGATACAGGTGAGACTGGATCCTCGATGAGTGGAGAGGATGGCTCCTTACAGATAAATGAGGTGGCTTTTCAGCGATAAATGAGGGTGACTCTTCAGCGAGATGCGAGGACATTTCCTCAGCGATAGGGAGCTGGGAGGATGGCTATTGGCTAACCATGGAGGATGAATGATTTGAGAGGACTAAGTGTGAGGGCTGGGGAGGCTCCCGCTAATTTGTAAAACAATTACGCTGGTGACGCCGTGACATGCTGAAGACTTTGCTGACTGCGGAGGCTTGATAAATCATAGCATGTGATTTCTCATTGCACGAATGAAAGGACGGCTGACCTGCGCCGATTAAGCAATGCGCTTATTGGGCTATGCTGTATCCCAAATAGCTGATTGTTTTTAATCAGCTCATTAGCGCTTGCCGTGCTCTGTGCATCAGTCCGATCCTGTCTGAATCACGGCACCACCTCTGCAGTCGTGACCCCATATCCGGGAGCCAGGGCGATGCGCCGTCATCTATTCCTCACACCTTGTGGGCAGCATAGTATCAGGAAACGGTGCACCGAGGGGACGTCAACCGTTCCTACAAAACTCTGCGGATCCGCTGGTATTATCCTGGTTTAGCAGCGGGCGTTTCCTGGGTCCCACAGCCGGCGCGACACTCCCGTTTCCTTTGGACGGATATTCGCGCTAATTGACTTATTATCGTGATTGCCTGAACTGATTACGGTCACATCAATCCGCCCAATGCCCTCAGAAACGAGCAATCATGCGTGGAAACCAAACGCATTTAATGAGCTTATCCTGAGGACTCACGCCGTGAGACATCCTTCCTGCTTCAATTACCTTGGAGGTAAAGCATTTACCCCAAGTTAGCCATCCAAACAAATAACTTATAAGTGCAAACGAGGGCATGAAAAATAGCCCATTTAGCACCAGCAATCTTCCCTGTGGTTATTCCTCTACACCAGCAATCTTCGACTATCTACTTGCGTCTCACAACAAAGCAAAACATTGCCGATCTCTGTTGCAAGTTTCCTTTCATTTTATTTTGCAAGATTTCAGCGCAATATGGCTTTGATTATTGCGGTTGCTGCTTACCATGTGTCAATATATTTCATAAAAGAGCAACAATCTGCATTGTGGAGCACCGCAGATCAGATAAATATGGATTTGCCGGCAGACGACATTCACTTTTTAGACAATAGCATTTGCCAATCGCTTAGTATTCATGAGAAACATGCTATTGTGTTATTTTAATAAGGTGTCTCATTTGTGATTACAGACAATATATCTGTTACCCAAAATGTCGAGCTGGATAGACAGAGACACATCACCATACATGTTGCCTACCAATCCGCTGCACGACTGAGGTAGATGCGGGGTGTCTACTGTCTACTATTTTCCTCAATCCTCACCGTTCTGTCGGTCCCTCCGTACGCAGCAATCACCGATCACCAGCCATGAACCAATAGTCACCACTCGCCAGTCACCATCCACCAATTATGCACCAACCACCAGTTAAGCACCAATCGCCAGTCACCAGTCACACTCGACCTCCGCTGCCGCTAAGCGCGGCATACAGCCCGCAGCAGCTACACTAGGCGGCGGCAGCGGCGGGCTGACCTTGACCTCGGCTGGCCTGGATTGGCGGCTGGCCATCGCCCCGGCTGACCGGCCGAGCGGCACGCGCCTGCAGCCAGCACCGGCCGCGCCCAGTCAGTGGCGCTCTACGGCCGATACAGAGACACTGACACCACCAGTTGACACAGAACCGACACCAAACCTGCCACACCCAGCCATTGACACCCTACAGTAGACATAAAACCGTTGATAACGACGGCGAGATCCAGAACCACAGGTCGACCGGCCGCGCCTAGGAACCTTACGGCCGACACAGTCCATTGATTACGACTGTGACACAACCTGACACCAATTGCATAGTCCTACAGCCACCGGCCACACCCAAACACTGACACAGCGAGTTCCACCCCACGAGCTCTACCAAGTCAGCGGCACCCCGCCGTCACAGACAGTCATCGGTATCCTGCGGCAGTCCCAGCCGGTGACTCTGAATGGGTCACCGGGTCCCCCACAGGCCCAGCCACCGTCCTGATGGCTAAGATGATGTCATAACACAATAATTAGCCACGACTTCTCTCGTCGAGTCATCAGAAAGGCAATTCGTATGATGATGATACAGAACCGATTCATTAAATAAGCCAATCAATTTGATAAATGATTGTGGCGACCTGTGAGCCACAAGTCTAATTTTGTTTGGAACAGTAATCATCCAAGGTTAGTCTAGGTGAAGCCACAAATAGCTCGTCATTATGGATCCGTACAGTTGTAAGTGCTGTGTCTGAGCTCAGCGAAGCACTCAGGGTTATATCGCGGAGAAGATCGTTTTACCGCTTTGTGAACATCTGTCCGCGCTGATAACAAGGCGCATACTTAGCTGCATCATGTGATGTATGTACGTTCAGCTACCGATGTGACATGTTCACATTGTGTTGTACAAGCGGTAGAGACTTTGAGAAGCTCGAAAAAGTACGTTAGCCTCACTTAGTACAGCAGTTAGCGCAGCGCAGTTTTGTCAATGGGAAGAACTGGTCATTTGATGTTTGAGCAAATATCGAGGTCCAAAGATGTCAGAGGTCGTGAAATATTGACGGCTTGAAGCGACAATTGAAATTTATTGCGACAGTGCTTCTCGGAAGACATCATTAGAGTGGCGGATGTACACTAGAAAAGTTAATGTGGTGCCTGGCGGATGAAAGAGCTTGTTGTATAGATCACATGAACGCGCATTCTGAACTTTGTTAGCCACTATGTAAAGCGCTCCTGTTCGCTCCTTAAAGGAAATAGTTCACTTTTTAACATGGGTTTTGAACTGGAATAGCAGTTCCGTAGCTTGGGCTGAGACGAGCATAAATCAGGAGCTTTTACAGCCCAACGATCACCCTAGGCAAAGATATTCTATTTCTCGTCCCGAAAAAGGTGTATTGCGTTGAGGATGTGTGCCTTGCATATATTCGCATCCAGTATGAAAAGAGCATGGGTCCCGAAAATTCTTCAGAAACTAGTGAAATTATCTACGAGAACTCAAGAGAAATTCTCGTACTGATCAATAAGGACATTCAGCAGCAGCAGATCGCCCAAATGCCGGTGGCCGCGATAATTTCTCTAGTTTCTGAAGAATTTTCGGAACCCATGCTCTTTTCATACTGGATCGCCTGTGCCTTACAGAAACTGAAAAGTTCTTCTTATATCAAAATATAGAAAATAATCTTTTGTTATAAATAGGTTTTATTTTCTTTGCTGATCATTTTGAACATAAAAAATCATAAATCCATTGCAAAAAAATAATTTCGTGAAAGTGAACTATTTCCTTTAACATTTCCTGCAGCATTGACTGAGAGCTTATTAGCTTTGAGCTTCGACCGAGAGTGCTATGACAAACAATCTGTCGGAAGAATTTCTAAAGCACACATCTCTTTATATATATCTCTGCAGTGACACTGACTATAGAGAAGCCGTTTCACCGCATAGCTAGCTCGCTGAGACCGGCTCAGTCTCCAGAGCCGCTCAATGGACCTCACTTTCCACTGCGTCCGGGGACAGTGGTGGCGCGCCCGTGGCAGTTGCGACACCGCTGCAGCATTGGTATGCGCCAGCTCTGTGCCAACTCCATTAGCATTCATGGACGGCGCCGGTGCCACTCGAAAACAAGCGACAAAACACAGCTGCGCCAGGAAGGTCGCCGCGCAGGTCATGTTTGTCACCTGATGGCTGAGATGTTGGACGCCGACACACCTCCCACGAGACACCCAGCGCTCACTTCAGTCACTTCCACTGAAAGCTCTTCATGTTCAGTGACACCGCAATCCCACTAACTCCCACCAGGCCTCTCGGTGTGGCCACGCCTCGCGCTGGCCCGCCCGTGCAGGTGACCCCGTAAATTGTCGGTCGGTCGGCACTGTCGACCGCTCAGCAGGGCGGGACCGTCGACAGAGATTATCACATTGACCAGCCGCAATCGCGGGGGACACAGGACCATTGTCGGCCACAGACCTGAATCTTGGCCGGGCGTTTCCAGAAGCATGGCTGGGCAGATCGGCCCCTGGGTCTTTTCCATTGAGATCGGTTATCTGATGGAGAGTGAGTGGAGTAGAAATTAGTTCTGATTATCAATTATTTTTTATCTACAAATATAGTGACCTTTGTCTGTCGATGAACGTCCATGATAAAAGTGAGATAATATCACGAATAGATAGATTTGCGTTCTATTAATAAAGCTACACTGAAAATAAATTAACACTCGCGTGCCGGTGACACGAAAATAAGCACCAATGAGAGGCGTTTTGGTAGGGTGTAACACAACTCAACTGTGTAACTGTGGGGTGTAACGCCGAAGAATGGTGCAATTACTCGGTGTTCAAAATCAACACCGACAATTAACACCAATGCCACCTCAGACCAACCGACGCTACGGATAAATAACACCACCATTTGGTGTCAACACCCCGTGACAGAGACGTTATATCGCATACGCCACACAATGGTGTAGCTCCCAGTTCATTGATCTCTAAACAGTGTTACTAGCACCGTTACCATGGATCGGATATGGCCTTGGATTCAAGGTCAGCCGGCCGCCGGCCAGCGCGAGCGGCTGCGCGTGCACATGCGTAAATTCAAATGAACGGCGGCGTGTTGATTCGCGCTTCAGTTTGAGTCGAGTGATGCGGGGCTGTGTGGAGACTGGAGGTGGTGTGAGAATTCAGGGCTGCGGAGTCGGAGTCGGAGTCGGAGTCGGTCGGAGTCGACAGTTGTGACCGGAGTCGGAGTCGGAGTCGGAGTCGCTTTTAGAAACCCGATCCGGAGTCGGAGTCGGAGTCACCGAAAATCTGTCGACTCCGCAGCCCTGCTAGGTCTGCGGAGTCGGAGTCGGGAGTTGGAGTCAGTCGGAGTCGACAATTCTGCCCGGAGTCGGAGTCGGAGTCGGAGCTGGTTTTTGAA